GCATATTGTCATCTTTCAGAACTTGTCGTATGACAACGCACGGCAATGTTCTATATAAATATGACTAATCATTGCTTTCCTGTTTTTGAGAAGATAATTTTCAAAGAATTTTCCATATACGAGGGATGATCATAAAGTTCGCGAACTAATTGAATAACTTCCATAAAAGAAATGAAATTAGGTTTCAGTGTTCATTATATTTTAACAGTCTTCTCCGATTTAAATACATATCTGACACAGTTCTGCCCATGCGTGAATCACGTGATACTGGCGGTCACGTGACATGCTCCGTAGCGTTCTGTTCACAGAAGCTAAAATATTTTTCCGAGTCTTATGTTTCTTACCATGCAAGTTATTTTTTACAAGATCAGTCCATTTGTCAGAAATGACCAAATCTCGGCAATAGGATGGGTGGATAAGGAAATCCTTTTCCAGAATGAGCATGGTGCCTATCACAACCCGAATCCTCTGTCTCAGGAGCGTCGTTTATTCAATGTGGAAAAAGTATGGGCGCCTTCTTTAAAAATTTTTATCATATCTGACATGTTTAAGGTATAAAGTGAACGATATTTTAGGGATTTAATAATCATTTAATTGTTAAGATATTCAACTACTTTTCTAACTGTAACTTTGCGATCTTTCATAACAAATTGCTCAACTAAGGACACATCTCTTCCCCAGCTTGCTTTCCATGAGCAACAGAACAAACATCATCTTTAACTATCTCCCTTCCTTCACTCAAACAATCAATCCAATAAATGATTGAACTTTTGGCAAGTCTTTTGTCTTCATAAAACTTGTACAATTTATTATATGCTACTGCAAAGGAATTTCCAATATATTCGTTAAACTTTACAACAGTTTGTTTCTCGAGTACGACTGAGTCAACCATTTTTTTTCACAAGTCACCTACATATCGACGTCATTTTCACATTGTGACGTCACAGACATGGAGCAAAACATTACATAATATCTGCTATTTATAGAACATATGTATGACTATATGTGTGCCAAATTGCATTCTGATCTGAATTGTGGTTTTGTAAATTTTGTATAGAGATAGTTCACAAACGTTTTGATCACCCCTCGTATTCCTAGATTAACTTTGATCGCCCATTGTGGCTCCACCCTAGTCCCGGGGTCATGATTTGAAGATACTTGAATGTACACTACCTAAGGATACTTCCATATAAACATCACTAATCACGGGCCTACTGCTGGTCCTCAATGGTGGATCCAGATATTTCAGAATGGAGAGGGGTGCGGTTCAGAATTTTTTTGATAATAAAAAATAAGTCATTTGTATGTAAATATGCTTTATTGTATATGTTAAGTAAATAATTCAATTATGAAATTTTACCTGTAGACTAAATTGAGAGTATATACAAGTTAAACAAACAGAATTTACCAAAGCAAAAAAAAAATCAAACCACCGGACGGGGGGTGCGCGGCTGCTACATCTGTCTGGTTTTTGAGAAGATTTTTAAAGATTTTCTGTATAATTATATTCCCTTGTAAAACTTTGATCACCCATTGTGGCACCATCCTACCCATGGGGTCACTATTTGAACAACATTAATTTTGTCTTTGATTGTTTGTTTGTTGTTATTGACCTCTACAAAAATTTAGAATTTTTTTAAATTTATATATCATATACAAATTTAAATTGAAAAATTCTTAATTTTTGTAGAGGACATTATAATGTCCATCTCGAGAATTTTTCATTCGTATGACGCCACCACATGCCGTTGGAGGACTGCAAATTTAGACCTATACTTGGCACTCAGGGTCATTGAGCAGTGAGCGATCTTTTTCGTGCCAGGACCTCAAAATTAACGTACGGTATGTAATGAAGCTTTCACATAAGAATCTTTTCTTCAGACCCAGTAGTTCTAAAAAAAAATTATTAAAGATTTTTTTAAAAATATTCTATGAATAACTCTGATCACCTATTGTAGCCACACCCTTCCCCCGAGGGACATAATCTGAATAAAACTGAATATACACTTCATAATGAAGCTTTTTCATATGTGTCAACTTTTCTGACACAGTGGTTCTTGAGATTTTTAAAAGATGTCACTAAATTTTCACTAATTCTTAACTACTTCCCTTGAAAGAGGACATGACCCTTCATTTGAACAAACTTGAATCCCCTTTATCAACGGAGCTTTGTGGCAAGTTTAGGTGAAATTGACCCAGTAGTTCTTGAGAAGAAGCTGAAATTGTGAAACGTTTACAGACAGTGGGACGCTCAGACAAAATTTGATCAGAAAAGCTCACTTGAACTTCCAGTTCAGGTGATCTAAAATGTCAACCCCAACACAAATTATATCGGCACATAATTGCATATAAGAATAACGCAAAAAATAATTTCCAAATAATCAATACTACTGAACAAAAAAAAGGTATACATGTATTCAATCTAAAAGTATATATTACAAGAAAAAAGAGTAGTCTGATGTATCAGATATTTCAAGAATTACGGTATCTTGACACATCATGGTGTTGTTCATCAATCCTGGACACAATTTCCTGACCAAAAAGTTTTCTACCTATACAGTATTTGCGAGTAATGTATGTCTCCCACTGTGCGTGCACGTGTGTTTGTCAATCTCTCTTTCATTTCTCAAGCTAATATTCATCAAAGCAATATATCGACGACAATATATGCCAACCTTGACTGTACATATTGTCGCCGACGACAATATATGCTGGTGCTTGACTGTACATTTTGTCGTCCATTATGCAGGAGGAAAATAAGGCTTGTCTCGGTACATATTGTCGCCGGTGACAATATGTGCCGATGGACGACAATATGTGCAGTGAGGGTAGGTATATATTGTCGCCAACGACAATATGTACAAAACAACAATACGTACCGTCACACTCGTCTCAGTACATATGCAATATGCACCGATGGACGACAATATGTGCAGTGAGGGTAGGTACATATTGTCGCCGACGACAATATGTACAAAACGACAATATGTACCGTCACAGGGCATGAGCCAACGATTTTCTGATCACTGAGCGAGTCTTTGTAAAGGTGAATTATTGAAAGCTCATACTTGCTATAGGATTGTTTATGATCACGGAGTATGTCATGACCTTGAAGCAAGGTCATTTTTGCAAGTTTAAGGTCACTGACAGGAAAAGTATAATATTTTTGTCCGGGTTATGACTTTGTAGTAAAGAATCATTGGAAGATTCATAATCGGTAAAAAATAATGTTTATCAATATCAGCATGTGTCATGATCTTGTCCAAATATCTTTCTTGGAAGTTCAAGGTCACTAGCTGAAAAAAGCGTAAAATTCTTGCTTTGGCAATAACTTTGTAATAGAATTTTATTAGAAGCTCGAGCTCATGCTTGGTACAAAGATTGTTTATGACCTGAGTATGTGACATAACCTTGACCCAAGCTCATTTCATAAATTCAATGTCACTGGCAAAAAAAATTGTTGAATTCATGACTCCATTTTCTAATTGAGAAGAATTTTACTAAAATTACTAGCACTTACATGTATGTTATTTTTCCAACCAAGGTCTTCTTGGCAATTCCAAGGTTACACTTATGAAATTTAAATAATCACTTAAAAATGTGTAGTTGGAGTATTAATTTGATTTGTTAGCCCGCTCACAACGCCTCTAGTTTTGTACTTGAATTGTTCTTCTACAATGTTGTATTATACTCAGGTGACCGTCAAGGCCCTTGTCCATCGTTTTTAAGGTGATTTTTGAATATGTATTCTTATGTAAAAATTTAAAAGATACCATAAAATTTTCACTATTTTTTTAATCTCCCCTTGAAAGAGGACATTGTCGTTCATATGAAGAATAAAACCACCGATAATCTAAATAATTGACAGGATTTGATCTATTACAATAAGTTCTAAGATTCTTTTTCAATCTTGCTTATTAGCTTCTGCACGCATGCACTGAAACAGTTAAACATTTATACCCGCACATACAATATATACATGCACGTAAACGATGCAACTTGTGTGGGGATAAAAAAAATGTCGTTTCTTATTTATACCTGACAACTCGCTCCGTGATCGGAATGTTGTGTGTGAATCTCGTCGATAATAAATAGGTAGTTCCTTTGCCAAGCGCTCGGCACTTTCAAGTAAAAGTTACGGGTCCTTCGGAGAGACATTAAAAACCGAGGCCCCCTTGTCACGGTAGACGTTGTTACGATAAAGATCCCTCACTGCTCAATGGCCATGAGCGACGAGTTAAGGTCATAATTTGAATTCCTCTACCGGGATATGTTGACGTCTCCATACGAGTGAAAAGTTCTAAAACAAATATATTTATTACAGGTTGAAAAAATCTAAAATTAGAAATCGTACTATTCCTTTTCAAACAGGTTTTTTTTCTATTTTTACCTGAGTGAGTAGGAATACCTGTATGACCAGTCCTGTAATGATAATAAAGGTAAAGCGTTCTTTGTGATTAGTCATTCGAGCTCAAGACTGCGTGCTTTTCAGTCAACCCCCCCCCCCCCCCCCTCCCTCCAGTAATCTTAAGTTTTCTGCTGTTGTAATATCAATTTTTGTAAATGTTATAAAAGCACTTTATTAAATGTTGAGCAATGTCGTCAATTAAATCCGCAGGTCTTGGAGCTGCTAGCCATAATATTGGTAGTTTGTTTTGATTTTTGAATGAGGATATAAATAATTTAAGTTCGGTTGAGACTGGTCGAATTAGAACATAACATAGATATGTACAATCAATCAATCATACCTGACATGGCCTTGGCAATGCACTTGATCAATGATATTTTTTGGGAGAGGATGGTTATGGTTATTGATTTGATATTCATTAATATTAACCCTCTCTTATTCAAATACAATTTCTCTGTCATTTTAATGAAATGTATTGGAAAATGGTACATTGCACAATGAATATTCATTAATAGTTTATTAACTGTATTTACAATTATAGAGTATTTAACAATAATTAAATTGCAGTAAGCATTTTAATTTAGGAAAAAAAAACAAACAGCCTCAAAGAAACAGAATAAGCACAAAAAACGAAAAGACGTTAACGGTGATAAAATGGGGGAGGAGAAGTCGATGCACGTTAGAAAGCAGATTAAAGAAAATATTTGTTTCATTCTTATTGTCATGGAAAATGTCATTTCGGTTAGAGATCTTGATTTTTAGTGGATTGTTGTGGCGGACTGTACTTGGGAGGTGAAGCAAAAGAGGCTGCAACGCCTTGTCCATTTGTCTGCATCTGACCAGTATTAGCTGGGCATAACCCCTGTTGATGGTAAGGCTGCATAGCTAAACCATTATAATAAGAAGAAAATATAATTCATGACCAACCTATTACTTTCTGGATCTCAGACGTAAAACAAATTTCAGAATATTCGAAGATTCACTATGTAAAGGTCTGCACATTTCAGTTTGATTTTATCTTTTTAAAGATAAGAGTTTAATACAAGTATTTCATTCAATTACATAATTTGATTTAAGGTAAAATACTGTTTATCAAAGATCATGTTTTTTTATGTAATTTATAAAATATGGGTACATACCTCTAATTATTTTTAGAATCGGTAGGAGAAGAAAGTAGTGCAGAAAAAAAATTACAAGTTCCTTAATTTGCAGACTTGAATAAAAAAAATTGTGATAGTGTACTAAACTGAGTCTCAAACTTGTTGATAAGGAGTATGTTTCCTAACAAAATAACTTGGAAAATGTAATTTATCAAGAAGATCAGCAGAATTATTTTGTGTATTATAACGCCAGTGAGAAGTCTTGAAATCCCCTACTTTCACTTTCTTTTTCAGAGGTTAACGCAGACAGACGCATTTTGCCGGAAAACGAATCTGACATGCCACCTCGAGATTTTAACCAAGGAAAGACAACTTGATGTGCTTTGATTTGAGGGGTCACTCACTGCTGAACGAAAATTTGGGACATAGCTATGTGAAGAAATGTTAACATTGCCACCTATGGGAAAACAATTAGTGGACTGTACCCATATTCTTACATGACTGAGTAGCTTGTACAACAGCTGTGCCTGCACTTGTGTTGGGGATGAGCATTAGTGCACCCTGATTTTGAGTGGGTTTTCTGCATAGAATATGATACAAAAAGGCGATGAACCCAATCAACGTCGCCAATCCCGTGAGGGCGCCAAATACAATGCCAACGATTAGACCAGCACTGTGGTTAAGAACATGATGTAATGAGAGAAAATATGGTAATATCAATATGATCAGATAATTACAGCCAACTTCGCCCACAGCATGATTTTCCGTCGTTCAGTCAACTGAATGATCAATGAAATGTCTGGAAAGGTAGTTGAATAGCAGAGCTCTGACATTCAGTCACCTTTCAGCAAATTTGCATTCATCTTTCAGTTAACTGAATGGCATAGTTTCATACTGTGACCAATGCTAACAACAAACACAACATCAACAAAAGCAAAACAAAAGCAAACAACAAATGCTGCAAAGGATAAAGGTCAAAATTTGAAGCCCTTCACCTGTATATGGTGACGTCTTTAAATGAGTGAAAATTTTTCGAATGGGACCTAAAACAATATACAATCATAGTAATCTTACCTCAGCGTATTGGAGAAGGAGGAGTAGTAATTGTAGTATTTGTAGGAGCCGTAAAAGTTGTAGTCGTCGTAGGAAGTGCAATCGTCGAAGGATTTAGTTAACGGGTTATAATTACAGTAACCAAACACTGTGGACAAGCCTAAAGGGAAAACAAAAATACTCGATTTTCCACAATATAAATGTACTTGATTTTTCCTTTAACATTTCTGATAAAGACATAATCTTCATTACTTCTACCTATCAATCTGATTATAATGAATGACGACAACAGCATATTCCCCGGCGACCTTTAAAATGGTTTGGTTAAATGTGTATCGGTGTATGTTTTTTGGTGTAGGAATATGCTATATATTATACATTTATTGCATGATCGTGAGGGAAATATGAAGATATATTCCGCCGGGAAAAATCATATTCCCCGAGGGCTTCATGTTTCCCGAACATCCATGCAAGAAATTGTTTATTATACAGAAACAAGCAAAAACTTTTAAAATAAACATAAACTTTCAAATTCGGCCCCGCTCTTAAATTCACTTTCAATTTTAACGTATTGTAGCCTGGTTCCCTGTCCCTATTTTGCTTCGTATACTCCGCGACACTAGGCAAGGAAGAGCCAGGGAACCAGGCTAAACGTAGTGTTATACTGAAACAATTGACAGAATTAGTGATGTGAATGTGACTATTGTGACGTCTTACTAACTCTCGGGAATTTTCGTTCAACGAACGATAACTATTGCGGGAAAATGCACCAGGTTTCCGAAGAGATTGAATATGATGAAAAGCATGGCACCGACAGGGAAATATGAAGTTTTATGGCCCTGTCATGTAAAAATCTAGAACCTATCAGATTCTGCGTTGTATAGAATAATTATAATGAGGTATAATAAAACATTATCTTGCACAACTCATGGTCAGTGGGTTTTAAAATAAACTATATTAGTAATAATTCCCAAAGATAACTATGAATACATTAAGCTCTACGATATATATATATATATATATATATATATATATATATATATATATATATATATATATATATATATATATTTTACTACCAAATTTCCATTATAATTATTGTTTAATCATTGAATACACTCAAAAATTAATGAAGTGAAACTTCAAAAAACATTATGAAAAAGCTCTCTTTGCAGTCTTTATTATTTTTTTTTTTAAATATTCGATAGAAAATTAGATATTTGTGCAAATGTATTTATTATTACCTTCTTTACCTGAAGTAAGCTGTCATAATTTGAGGTTGCATCGGGTAAATTTTATATTACTGATATTTAATCCCACTGCATGTTTCATTTAGTACGATTCAGAGCACAATCAATTAATGTCAGTCCAGTATGCACAACACGGTTATTTGAATAATCATTATTTTTTTTTAAATTTAATATCAAACCGAGTCAATATATTTTTTTCAGAAATGTATGTATTACGGGCAAAATGTATTTAAATTGCATCAATTTTATTGCGCTAGTCTACTAACTTTTTGATCACCCCTCGTATATGGGCAACGACTCTTTAGAAGATAAATATGTTTATGTGTATGGGATCTTAATAATTCATTCTAAAAAAAAAAAAATAGAAGGATAATTAGTCCATGGATATAATATTAAGCCACTCTTTTCACCTTTAAAAAAGAATGGAAGTTTACAAGGCGAGGAAATCATGGAAAATTTTCGTCAATATTTTTTCCCATATTTTATTTAGTTATTTAATTGAATTACTGATAAATATTTCTAAGTTATGATTTTAATGCAGGTGAAAAAAAAAACGCGTCACACAATCGCCAAAGCTCACGTAAGGCGTAAAGTTAAGCACTTCAATCACTACGCAACAGTGTAAAGCTCAAAATATTATTCAAATTCATTTTCCTGTGATTTAGAAGTTAATGTAGAATGGAGACTAATTGACCGATTCATATTCAAAAGTCATCTTTTATGGAATCGATAAACCCATTACCACTAAACATGCTAAACTGCCAACAAATTATCAATTGATAATAATGTTTCTCAATTAAAAAAAAAAAAAAAAAATCAAATAAGTTAAAGATGACAACTGAAGATATAATTTTTGGAAAAAACATGACTTTTCTATGAACATCAAAATTAAAAAGTATTGTCTCAAAGCGGGGGATTGCCCTCTCCTTTTTTGCCTTCCTTCTTTCACGCCTTTCGACCATACTATTCTAAGTCTTTTTGAGAATGTCCATCTAAAACACCTTTGATCCACTTGCATGCTTGAACAACAGGTTTAGAACCCTTTCAAGCTTATTAGAAACACAGATATTGTTACCTGTCCCATGAAGGTTCTTATGTATGAGCAATAAGTATCATTAGTGGTACACGTACCTTTACTCTTCCATGTAATGGATTACTGATCGGAAGAAACTTCCTAAACATCTCTGAGTCTTGTTTAACTTACTTAACTTTTCTTACCTAGAGACTGAGCAATGGAAAGGGTGAATATTTTCCAGTCCATAGTTAGAATTAACGGAGTCTTGTCAAGGGTTTATACATAAAATCCTTCTTGACATTTCTACTTCCTTGCTTTTTATAGTGGGATTTTAGATTTGCAGTTATCTTTGCTGAAGTATCTAACTCCCAGGAAATTAATACATGTTCTTTTCTGCGATAAAGCATACTGTTTTCCCATCAATTATACAGGCCCCGCTCTCCATCCGTCCGTCTTTAAAAAAAAAAAAAAAAAAAAAAAAAAAAAAAAAAAAAAAAAAAAAAAAAAACATTATTTAAAGTAAACTACATCAACTGAAGATACGCAACGCTTTTCTTTGTATCTTTTTGTCTGTCAATCCTGAAAATAAAATGTCGTTCATGTTGAAACAATCATTAAATCAGTGCGTATAGTTGAATATAATCGGGATTCTTTTATTCTAAAGATTGATTAACAGGTCAATTATTTTTGGAATGACTATTGTATCATTTATACGAGAATATAGGTTAGGATCCGTGTTTTCAGTAAATTTTTCTGTAAAGGTGAACTTTTTTGCTGATCTATCCTTGTACAATAATACAAGGAAAACAGTTTCTTTATCCGGAATATTAAATACATATTGTATATTCTGATGCTTTCTGGAAATAATCCGTGAGAGAAACTTCATTTCTTCATTTATTTTTTCCCCTGGACTTTTGATATGTCCCCATGACCACGGTTTACCATCGTAGGAAACCACGGCTGATTGGAGAGAGGAACGAAGCGTAATCAGCCGTGGGTTTCCGACGATGACGGTTTACTAATTTAAACTAAAGTCAGCTATAGTTTACTGTAGAAGCAACGAATTAACGAGATAAGATGTCACCGGCTTGGCGCAGTGGTAGAGCGTCTGCTCTAGAGTCGCGGAGTAAGGAGTTATTCCTTATGTCGCGGGTTCGAATCCCACTGTGGGACATGGGAAACGGTCCTTCGGATGAGACCGTATAAACTGCCGTCCCGCGTAGCAGTTGATGCTGGCACGAAAAAGATCCCTCACTGCTCAATGGCCCTGAGTGCTCATTACAGACCAAAATCTGAAGTTTTCCACCGGCAATATATAGGTTGTAAATCTAAAAAGAAATTAAAGAGAATCAATTTTCATAGAAAATCAATGTAGTAAAATATTAACTTTATTAAACTAAAGTTAGTTACGGTAAAATAAAGTTCAAGCTGTTTTTTTTTTTATTACAGTCATCACAAATCAAAAAAAAAGTCCCTTCTATTTTTTTTTTTCTTTTTTGATAATTAGTAGTGACGCTGATTTCGATATCTGGTTGTTTTGTTACCCTTTTTTCCCTCAAAGTAAGGATTCTTAGAAAAAAAATGGTGTTTTTATTAAAGTTGTTTCCTTCTGTTACCTTCCGAATTAATTTCTCCAGTGATTTCTTTTGTATTTTCTTTATTTATGGTTGTTGTGTAATTTATTCCATAAAAAGAAATGTTTATTTCCCTTGGAATTAAAGAACAATTCCATTATAATCATTAAAACTATATATTAAAATTTGGCCAATTTACTTTCATGAGATATCTTTTATGTAAAATAATATACATTCAAGTTTTGCATTACTAGTTTATGAGATAATATGGTTTGAAGAAAAAAATATGTTCCTGAATTCCATAGCAAGACCTTATATGCTGTAAAAATATTTTCATTTTTTTTCTGAGTTTAACTAGGGAGAAAATAATGCAGTATGTCATGTTAGGAGTAAACCCTTTCTACTCTAAAGTTTAGACGGGTTAATTTGTGACATTCAACCATTTTCATATACAGTTAAAGAAAATACAAAGCGCCATTATTCATTTTTTCTGCACTCAATGACGGCAGCCAGGATTCATCTCTGGTATATCTTTCAGATCTGTGTTACATACAATGGCCTGAAACTTGTATTACTTAAACAATGATTAAAATCCAGAACCAAAGAAACGTAGACGTATTTTACACTTATCCTTCTTGCCTTCAGCGAACAAAATTGCCCGACTGTCATACAATAAAGCACACATATCGCGGATTAAATTATTCAATATATTAACATCGCGCACTTTTTTCAATGATTAGAACTATGTAGTTAAATTGGTTTTAACAGCAACATTTTTTTTTTTCAAATTGTTCAGTTTGATGTGTTTACCATATCTAAAGTCACCTTGTGCTTTGCCATAGGTAATCCCGGACCACCACATATCCAGATCAAACAAGCCAATGAAAAATTAACGATTCTTGCTGCTTCAACATGGATGGAGGTGAAAAGCTGACCCCTTTATGATTGGCAAATTTCAAAAGCGAAATGTCGGCAAATTTCAAACGCGAAATGTCAGTGACACCCGAGGTTACATGTAACGAACGAGCCAGATTGTCAAGTCATTTATTTACAGAATGGCCTCCTAATTTGTATAATCAAAGGAGAAATATTTCACTTTTTTTAAAAAAAAACTGCGTAGCTCATCCTAAAAGTCAGGTTTTGAAATCAATATCATTGCCTTTATTTAATGCCCCCGTGGTCGAAGAATCGGGGGCATCTAGTTTTTTGCCCTGTCTGTTCGTCTGTCAGTCTGTCTGTTTGTATGTTTCTCTTTTCGCAAAAAAATATAACTATGTCCTCAACTATTAATTGGGTGGATTTATGGCTTTTATAATGCACATGTGTATTCCTTGTAAAAAGACCTTTCTTTGGGCACCAACTTATTTGACATCTTGACCTTTGAATTTGACCCACTTTTTTTCATTTTTTTAAAACTTTAATCTTGGCCATAATATTTGAGTGATTGACGCTTGGGCATTCAGACTTCACTTATTTATACCTTGTGAAAGAATCTTTCCTGGTGTACTTATTTTTGACCATGTGACCTCGACCTTTGATTTTGACCCATTTTTAAAAACATTAACCTTGGCCTAAGTTTTTGCTCGTTATTGCTAGGACTCATATCTCACATGTCTTTTTCTTGGACAAGACCTTTCCTAGGGTACCAACATATTTGACCCTTTGACATTGACCTTAGAGTTTGACTAACTTTTAAAAAAAAAAAAAAAAAAACCTTTTCCATAACTATTGAAGATTTGTGCTAGGGCTTTAATATTTCACATGTGTATTTCTTGTGACAATAACTCAAGATCTTCCATTAGTTACCAACATTTTTTTTTTTTTATCTTTTGACCTAAACCTTGGAGTTTGTCTTGCATTTGAAGAACTTTAACCTTTGCCTTTTGAACAGCCATACGGGACATTATTCCTTTAAAAATACGTCTTGTTATTCTAGAAAACACCAGCGTTTTAAAGGTGTGTGAAAGGGGCATACTTTACAATTCCAAAAGAAAATACAGACATAAAATTATCTACTACATGATCAATGTTATTCTAAATGATTATCATGTTGTGTAAAAAGAAGAAAAAATGTAAATTTGACTTTTTTTCGAAGGGAGACTATAAGACTATTTTTTAGTTGAAATTTATGTGTTTCTTCAATGATATTCCAACCGTCATTGTAGCTCAGTGGGTAGAGCTCTCTCTCCGTGATCGAAAGTTTGTATGTTCGAATCACGGCCCCGACTAAGTCGATAAGAAATAGGTAGCAACTGTTCCTTCGCCAAGCGCTCGGCACTTTGAAGTGAAAGTTGCGGGTCCGTCTGATGAGACCTAAAAACCGAGGCCCCCTCTCACGGTAGGCGCTGGCACGATAAAGATCCCTCACTGCTTAATGGCCCTGAGTGCCGAGTAAAGGTAAAATTTTAAAGCCCTTAACAGGTATATGTTGACGTCTCTATATGAGTGAAAAATTCTCGAACAAGACGTAAAACAACATGCAATCAAACAAAGAGAGCCCCGAGGAAATAAATATATTGAAAGCAATTAGATTCTTAGTTTCTGCATAGAAGGAGTCTAACGCCTTTGCCGTCAAAATGTTTAAACAAACCTAACTTTCGACTTGACACAGAAGATGATGACGATGGTGTGACACTTGTCGAGTTACTGTCCGATTTGAAGACGGTTTGCCTCGACTTTACTGCAAGAAATATATAATTAAAAAAAAGTGTTTCTCAAGAAGACATTGATGATTTTGAAAGAAACATTTCACATGTCCAAGACGGGCTGACAAAGACATAATTATGATCATAGCATACGTTGAAAGAGAAACAGAGACGGGGACACTGATGAAGAACATCTGCAATCGGACGACATTCCGTCAAAAACAGGTACAATAGAAATTATCAGAGTATTACATTTCTTATAAAAATAACATTTCGGGGTACAGATTTTTGCCTTTTCTTGACAACGAAAAAACCGTGTTGGCAACAAAATACTTAAGATTAAAATCACAGTTTTTTTTTAATCAGTTAAGCAACATTTGACTTTTACAGATGAAAAAAAAAGATAATTTATAATGCATACAATCTATTCGCGATTGACAAAGTACAAAAAAAAAATATTCGTAAATCATTTACACTTGTAGCTAGACACTAGGCCGAAAAATATAGCTGTAACATTTTTGTTTCAGAAGCTATTACACGGATCAACAACGCAATAATTTGATTCAAAGAGCTTCCTTATAAATATAATGAGTAACTATTAAGAACTTCCTTATATAAGTATATAAATAACTTTGAGTGTAAGGACGTGAGGTCTTGTACACATAGAAATCAATTATAAGCGCGTTTTACTGAAATGACCTTCTCAAAAGTTTTTGAATATGGTTTTCAAGAAAATGTACCATTTATTTTTGGTATTTGGTATTACTTCAGCTTACGGTAAGTTAAATGTTTGCTTGTTTACTTTGTAAAATAAAGACTTTTTTTTTTCTTTTGACAAATCTATAAATATTAAATAATAACTTACAATCATCGACATTGTAATATATGTAGTAATTGTAAGGAACGGAACATACATTGCAGGGTATATTTTTGATAAAACAATCACTCTAAAGCTGATATTATAAATATGCTGCATGATTATCAATCTTAAAATGGGGTTTGTTTAAATCAGCGCGTATTAAATCTA